GGGGCCTTTCGTTCGATGGAACGACGGATCCTCTTGGATTCATAGAGCACATCGAGGAGCGTGCCGATACCTGCCGGATCGACCGGAGATATCTGGCCCAAGCCCTGGTGGTGCTGCTGGCCGGCCGAGCCGAAAGTTGGTTCCGCACGCGCGGACTCCAACAAGCCAGCTGGATCGAGGTCCGCCGGGAGTTCCTTGACTTCTTCTTGCCACCGCGATACTATCAGCGGTTGGAGGATGAGATAAGGATGCACTTCCAGAAGCCCAACGAACCATTTAAGGAGTACCTTATCGACATCCGTTTACAGATGCGCCGGGCCGGATTCTCCTCGGACAAGGAGCTGGAGAGGGTCTACGAAAATATGCTGCCGGAGTATCAACTCTATACCCGGAGGCAGGATTTCCGCACGCTGACCGAGCTAACGCATCTCGTGACCAACTATGAGGAGACACGCAGCCGAGGCGGAAGAGCGCTTGAGAACCGGATCCCGACTTAACGCCAGGCCACAGGAGCCAGCTACGCAGCCGACGGAGACAGGATGCCCACTCGACGAGCTCAACAGGCGCCCTCTTCAGGCAACGCCCTCAACGGTTCCCTTAGCCGGAACGCTTGCACCAGCCAGAGCGCGGTGACACCCCGACCAGAAGCCGTCAACGTTCGCGACGCCTGCCGGAACTGTGGCCAATCCGGGCACTTCGAAGCCGAATGCAGGAACCCACGGATCCTATTCTGTTGGGATTGCGGCCAACGAGGACGCAGGACGGTTGACTGTTGCCGACAGCCACCGTCGGGAAACGGGCAAGGGCCTCGTGTGACCGGGAATCACCCGAGGAACCCTCCGTATCCCCGAAGCCAATAGGAGACACTCTCCATCAGTACCAGGGACGCATCCGCGCTACCATCCACATGGAGGGGCAGCGGTTCACAGCTACCCTGGACACCGGAGCCACCCACAGCTTTATTAGCGAAGGGCTGGCTCAAATGCTGGACAACGGAAGGAACACACGGGACATCCGTACCCAGGTAAAACTCGCAGACGGAACATGCCGCGAGCTGACCAGAGCTCTGGCGGCAAATATCTACCTTGGGAGTGAACGGACGCCCACCATTCTCCTCGTGATGTCGGACGCACTGGACGACATACTCCTAGGAATGGATTTCCTCTGCGGGATCGGAGCAACCCTGCTCTGCGGCGGGCAGACCCTCCGACTGCGACCGGACGACCAGCGAAGACCAACAACAGAGCCACGCTCTGACCAGCGAAGAACAGCAACAGAGCCACGCTCTGAACAGCGAAGGGAGCCACGCTCCAACCCACGGGACCAGCCCGCAGAGCCACGCTCTGACCAGCGAAGGGAGTCACACTCCAACCACGAAGAGCCATCCACGGCACATCACTCAGAGCCACGCTCTGAACAGCGATGCACATCGACGGAGCCACGCTCCACATCCGAAGAGCCACCAATGGCACATCATGCAGAGTCACACTCTGATCAGCGAAGCACGGCACCGGAGTCACACTCCACCCACGCCGAGAAGCCACCGACGACAGCCCAAGGAGAGCCACGCTCTACCCAGCGAGGGCAGCCAAGGGAGCCATGCTCCGAACTCGAAGACCAGCCTAGCACCTCGCCTCGAGCACAGTTTCGAGGCACAACATCACCAGCGACGGAGAACCAGACGCCCTGTTGGAGACAGGCTTTGCCCGTGGCAGATGCCACAGCCGCGCAACGGAATCCCTTCCGTACCTCCACCAAACGTGTCCGCTCCCAGGATTACGTCGAGGAAACGCCGGAGCCGAGCCCGCCCCTATGCGGAACCGTCAATTCGGTGAGTCATCCCACAGAGGATCAGGTCTCTTTCCAGACTGAGGAGCCCGAGACGCAGGATTACCCCGAGCCTTGGGTGAAGGAGTTCCTGGACCAGGAACTGGCCAAATTTGATACCCTCTCAGGGGTATCACACATCGCAGAGCATCGCATCTTCATGCGCACCGACCGACCCCTTAAACAGCGGTACTTTCCACGGAATCCGGCCATGAGGGCCGTCATTGATAAGCAGATCAATGAACTCCTCCGAGACGGACGCATTGAACCATCGAAAAGCCCACACAGCGCGCCCATCGTAATCGCGGCCAAGAAGAATGGCGAAGTCCGCATGTGCGTGGACTACCGCCAGCTCAATGAGAACTCCGTGCCGGACGCGTATCCGCTTCCGAGGATCCGTCAAATCTTGGAGCGACTACGGAACGCGAAATTCATCTCGACGTTGGATCTCAAAAATGGGTATTGGCAAATCCCAGTGGCCCCGGACAGCCGGGAGTGCACGGCGTTTACCGTCCCCGGAAGAGGGTTGTTCCATTGGAGAGTAATGCCTTTCGGACTTCACTCCGCTCCCGCCACGTTTCAACGCGCCTTAGACACGGTCATCGGTCCGGATATGGAACCCCATGCGTTTGCATATCTGGATGACATCATTGTCATCGGTTCCACACTGGAGGAGCACGTCGCCAATCTAGGAGAAGTCTTCAGACGCCTCCGCTGCGCGAACCTGCGCCTCAACAGAGGGAAGTGTCATTTCTTCCAGCGCCGCATCGTATACTTGGGTCACGTGATCAGCGAAGCCGGAATCCACACAGATCCGGACAAGGTCGCTGCGATCCGAGGACTCGCACCGCCGACGAACCTGAAGGAGCTACGCAGATGCCTGGGAATCGCTTCCTGGTATCGCCGCTTCGTGCCGAACTTCGCCGATGTTGTGGCACCCATGACATCGCTGCTGAAGAAGGGCCACAAGTGGGAATGGACCCAAAGACAAGACCAGGCCTTCCAGGTGCTGAAGACGCTGCTGACCGAAGCCCCTATTCTGGCTTGCCCAGATTTTGCAGAGAAGTTTGTGCTACAAACTGACGCCAGTGACTACGGAATCGGAGCCGTACTCACACAGACCATCGATGGAAACGAGAGGGTGATAGCATACGCCAGCCGGCGGCTCAACACTGCTGAGAGGAACTACTCCGTGACGGAGAAGGAGTGTCTCGCCATCGTCTGGGCGATTCGGAAGATGCGGTGCTACATCGAGGGATACCGCTTCGAAGTCCTCACAGACCACCACTCCTTGAAGTGGTTGAACTCCATCGACAATCCAACAGGCAGGATTGCCCGTTGGGCACTGGAGTTACAGCAGTATCAATACGACGTCCATTACCGGAAGGGGGCCCAGAACTTAGTGGCCGATGCCCTTTCTCGCCAACCGCTGCCCATAGTGCAGCAAGCGGAGGTACAAGGAGTCAACTGTAAGTGGATCACGAGGATGCTCCAGAGGATTCGGACCGAACCAGCAAAGTTTCCGGATTATCGAGAGGAGAATGGCCAGCTATATCGCCGCCTTGGACTCCGGCCGGAGGAGGAGGAGTACACGCCCTGGAAGCTGTGCGTAGGGTCAGACTATCGCCAGCGAGTACTCGAAGAGTGCCACAATCACCCCACTGCCGGTCATCTAGGGGTCCGGAAAACCAGCACTCGCGTGGCCCAGCGCTATTACTGGCCTGGATTGTTCCGCGAGGTGGCTCGGTACGTTCGCCGCTGTCCCACTTGCCAGCGATACAAGGTGAGCCAAGAAAAGCCCGCAGGTCAAATGTTTACTCGACAGGTCGAGGAGCCGTTCCACATCCTATGCGCAGATTTCGTCGGCCCACTGCCGCGGTCGAAACAGGGCAACACGATGCTGCTAGTATTCCTGGACGCCTTCAGCAAGTGGGTGGAGCTAGTGCCACTCCGCAAAGCTACCGCCACACATCTGGAACGAGCCTTCAGAGAGCGGATATTGAGCCGATTCGGTGTTCCCCGAACATTTGTCTGCGACAACGGTACGCAGTTCACCGGCCGCTCATTCCAGAAGTTCTGCCAGTCGCTAGGGATGGAGCTGCAGCACACGGCGCCCTACACTCCGAGACAGAATCCAACGGAAAGGGCAAATCGAACGATCAAGACGATGATCGCCCAATACTTGGATGGAGGCCAGCAGAACGAGTGGGATCAACTCCTACCGGAGATATCTTTGGCCATAAATAGTAGTGTCTCGGACACTACCGGATTCAGCCCCGCATTCTTGGTACAAGGCCGAGAACCGCGACTTCCGAAGACGTTGTACGACGAAGTTACCCCCGGACGAGGCACCCCAGAGGTTACCCCGACAGAGCGAAGCGAGCAACTTCGAAACATCTTCGACGTCGTCCGAAATAACGCTGACCGCGCCGCCGCCGAGCAGAGCCGTCACTACAACCTGCGCCGGAGGACATGGAGACCACCAGTTGGATCCATGGTCCTAGTACGACGACACGCCTTATCCAACGCAGCCGAGGGCTTTGCCGCAAAGCTAGCTGCGAAGTACGAAGGACCATTCAGGGTAGCGAAGTTCCCATCGCCGAACATCGTGCAACTGCACATGCCAGGAAGCCGACGCCGGCGGACCGCCAGCCTGAACCAGCTGAAGCCGTACCACCACGAGGATGAGGAAGACACCGAAGCCGGAACCCACCGGGAAGACACCGACGCCGGAGATACCACAATCGAGGATGCCGACGACACCATCCTGGACGCACAGTCAGCAGCCAAGACCGCGCGGCGCAGAGGACCCATCCCGCGCCGCCAACACTAGCGACGAGCACCCATGTAGGGGGAGATGACCATGTTTCACAGGGGCCACTTGTTGACAGGCGCGCCTGTCCAACGTCCCGAACCCCCTAGTGGGGTGAACATGCGTCTCTTTCCAAAAGCCGTAGTCGTAGCCAACCCTAGCCCACTCCATTAGGTAGGGCCCAGGGCAACACACTAATACCCATCTCCTCTGTCCTTACAGCAGCAGCCTTCAGCCCGCCTACCGAGAGGCATAACGAGCCACGCGCCCGCAGGCAAAGCACGCCTGACATCTACGCAGAGCCACTGCCACGTCTTCGCCAGACCACCGTCGCCACAAAGGACGTCAACCAGCCAAAAGTATGGACGGACAAGGCCATCCGCCGACTCCCGCCCCGGCGCCACAGGACAACTCATGGATGTGCTGTGCTGTCGACGAGATCCTGCAAGCACTCCAAGGCGCCGGGCCAAGCCCGCCGCGTCCCAGCGACAGCCTCGTCGCCCATAACGCCGGCCTCTTCCGACCACGGGCCCTACCCGTCGACGCCACCATCGCCGCCGACAACGGGGAGGAGACGATCGCCGGCAACCACGCCGGGCCCCGTCGGCCCTCTACAGAGGGGATGCCACTCCTGGTACCCCTGTTCGCCGGCCTCGTTGGGCCACGTCGGGCCCCTCTGGAAGTCGTCCTCCGTGACGATGACGAGGAGGAGGCCCACCAAAGCGACGACGCTGGACTCCAGCCAGCACCCTTAAGGGGCATGCCGCTCCAGGCACCCCTGCGCACCGGCCACCTAGGGCCGCAGGCGCCTCCTCCGGAAGTTGCCCCTCACGAGGAGGAGGTGCCACGTGACGATCGTTTCGGACCCCTTCGGGTCCGCAGGCTGTCGCTGCTCTCGGACCTCTGGGCGCGGCGTACGACCTGGTCTCCGACGACGAGGGCCGTGACAACCAAACACCTCGTCACTATAACTCAACCGGCGATGACGGCGACGACAGCGACGCGACCGTCCTGTACGACCCCACCGCGGAGGACAGCCGTGACATACGGAGGAGGCGCACCACACCGCCGCATCCGAGCGACAACCGGGCCCCGCCGTACATGGGCGAGGTAGAAGCCGCCCTGATGGAATGCTTCGGGGAGATACCAGTGGACGTGTTTGACTGGGGAAGCGGCACCAACACGGCGTCTACAATCTCGGCCGACGAGGACGAGGCCAGCCGGGATGGCCGCCAGTCGGACGCCTCGCGACCACCTTCCACCGGACCCGCCGATGACGCATCAACATCGACAGTCTCGGCCGACGAGGACGAGACTAGTCAGGACAGTGGCTGGTCCTACGCCCCGCGATCGCCGCCCCCACGCTGGACTCCACCCAGCACCACGCCGCTACAAAGCTGGGCCCCAGCCACTGCCAGTCGCAGCCGACCCCCTCCGCCCTCCTACGAGGAGATATTTGGCTTGAGACCATACCCCGGTCCTCACGCTACCGCCCGATGCGCCGCGGTGGCCGCCAGTCGTGATCCTCGACCCCGCCTGCCCACCATTGCGGAGCTGGCCGCAGAAGAGGCGCGCCGAAGAGCGGAGGACCTCAGCGAGGAGCTCGGCAACCCACCGGGTGCCCAACCGCCGACGAATGGCCCACCGCCATCACCGACTCCACGCCGCCGAGCACGGCGCAGGAGCGCACCATGGGCAGACAGCCCACCCAGCTCGTCCGACGAGTCATCATCGGACGCCGACGAGGGAGCCATCAACCCTCCCCGCTGGGTACCGGCCCCAGTAGAATGGACCACGCCGAACGGCACGCTGCCGGCAGCTTTGCTCCGCCGGATTCACGGGCGCCTGGCGACGCCACGAAGACGGACGATTCGGATTCTGGAGGAGGAGGCGAACCAACGCTTCCGCGTCCAAATCAACCGAAGCGGGAAGGTGATCATCACTCTCCACCCCTCCCGAAGATAGGGTGGAGTGTGACGATGTCACAACACCCTATGTTTGTAAATACTGTACATATGAGTTAAGGTTATAGTTAAGTTAGTAATTAGTATAGGGAAATAAGGTAGGATAAGCCATATCACACACCCACACACAGAACTGTACATTTAAGCGGGCATGAAGCCCAAAGTTAATTTGCCCAGGAAGGGCCAAATTAGATTTAGGCCGCAACGCACAGGCGTATACATTTTGTCAACACGGACTGTAGCGACCGCGCTGAAGCCATTTCCCCTCTCCGCTGCCGACGCGAACAGCGGCAGAGGCAGCGACATTTCCCTCCAACGATCGTGCGTGTTTATGTTTTGGTCGTGCTTATTTACATGCCGATCAAAACATAAACAATAACAAAAACAAAGCCGACGGCCGAAAGCTGCGCTGCCCGGACATTTTTGGCAGAGACGAGGCGACAAGGGCTTTGCAAGCTGCGACCGCGAGCACTTCTCCGACAACTGCGAACGTGAACAATTGAAATTAGTCTCCGCGACTCGAAATTATCCAAACCGACGGCTAAGTCCAAAAGGACCCGCGTGTGTTGACTTACATCCTGGCTGCTAACATCAGGTGAGCCGGCCGAGTGCCATGTAAGGGCAGGTCATTGGAGTGTGGCGTAGGGCCAGGTTAGGGACGACAGGCGTAGTTTAGAAAAATGTAGACAATAATTAATTAATGTAATAAAGCACAGAAAATGAATTCAGAAATTCCATCGTCTTTCTCTCTCGCACCCGCATAAAACTCCGCGTAGCAACAACCAACCCTTATTTTGACGCGTGCCAAAGTGTTCCCCTCCCGCTCACTCACTCGCCGAGCTGGTGGCTGGGTTCTCCCGCACCAACTCCGCGTGGTCGCTGGGCAAGCTCCGGGCCGGAGAAGCGGGACGGGAGCGGGATTTGTCGCTGCTGGGTTCTCCCGGGCACAGATCTGGCGTGGGGCATCGGGGCTGCTGGGTTTACCCGAGCTACGAGCTCCTCGCCGCCGGCACGTGTTTCCAAGTTTTCCCCTCTCCCCTCTCCTTTCCCCTTCCGATCTGCATTTTTCCCGCCATCGCCGCTGGGTCATCCCGGGCGGCGGAGATTTTGCCGATCGGAAGAGTCGCCGCTGCTGGGCAACCGGGCAGGCGCAGGAAACGGAGGAGCACCTGGCCATCGCCAGGGTGACCATTCTAGATTCCCATTTTCCCGAAGCCAGAGTTCCCCTTTTGAAAACGAACCCCTTTTCGCTGCCATTTCGCCCCTAGAAAATTCATTAAAATTCGGCGTCCATGTTCTGGAGAGGAATCCTGGGCCGCTGAGGTTTACCCCGGCCTAAGACACATCCTTACAATATGTTGTTATTATGTTGCAATTCTTTGTGTTTTGTGTAAGTGATTGTAACTTTTACCTCGCAAGTCGGCATGAAGCCGCCTTCTCGAATGATATTAGCTCCAAAGGAAGTCATGCGAAAGCAGTTATTGTATTCAAGGATGTGTTGAAGAAAATGGCTGGAATCTGGATCACTTCCATCGAACAATGCTTTTATTGGCTGTGGTGGTGTAAGTAATGGATCCAGTTTGACTTTTCCACTTGCGCAGCACAATCCAGCAGTTTCTCTTTTAAACTTTAACGCATTGCAATATCGGCATATAGTCGTCATATGTAGGTCCAATATCTAATTTTCTATCATCTCTGTAGTTCGCAGAGGGATCATATTGAAATGCCAAGCGATTGTATGATGCCAATGATCTTCGTGTGCTCACGCGTCGTCTTAATCGGTCATATTCTCTTCTTGGATTTCGTCTTTCCTCGCTTAAGTTCTGTGAATACCCTTGTTGCTGGATTGCATGCCTTCTGCGGAGAACGATGTTCACACGTCGTGCTCTAGGCATTTTGGACTATAGGCAGAGCGGTTAATCCACATAATTTACACAGTTCAACTTACCACCCTAAATACAAATGCTGGTTTCCAATTGCACTGATATTAAACGAATAACTTATTTTACTCAAAATTGAACACAATTTCGATTTGTCATAAAATAAACTGAGTGGAGAATAATGGCATGCTATGTGTCAGTGTTGGCGCTTTATGCAAAAATGATTTTCCCGCTTTCTGTTGCAATTTTTCCTGAATTTTCTTTACTGCAAAAAATCACAAATTCCGAGACCTTTCCAACGAATGCAAAACCGTGGATATCGGTTCGTGCGTTCTGGAGTTATTTGCTCCGCGCAGAAAACTCGACTTATTTTTATATAATAGATTAGTTTTTACACGTCTAATACATTTGCATACTCAATTGTAAATTTGTAAACAAAAAGTTCACAACTCAGATAATAATGCATATATCCACTTTAGAATTTATATTTAAATTAGTTCTTACAATGCTAATACATTTGCATACTCAATTGTAAATTTGTAAACAAAAAGTTCACAACTCGGCTAATAATGCCTGAATCCACTTCAGAATTTATATTTATACTAGTAAGCCCGGCGAACTCCGTTACGCCACCTTCGGCAAATTATCCGTTTAATTGAGGTGCTCTTTGGTAAACCATATTTTTTGTGATGCGTTGTGGTTAATGGAATTATCTAGGGACCAAATAGCCTCTGGGATGCTAAAATCACCAAGAACTACTAATTATGTGGTCCCTACCCGAAATTCTTTTAGAGACCAACTGAATAGCGGAAATATGGTTTCAATAAATAGGAAGTTCCGACAATGGAAGAATATAGTCCGATCTAGCCGGTATACTGTGAACAGAGCTTTAAAAACTTCGGAGCTCAGAATCTCCGGCTTTAACCAGGTTTCTGTAAACACAACACTTGGGAAGCAAATGTGACACTATTATAGTACAATTTAGGGAAGCTTACTGCGTAAGCCTCTAGCATTCTGATAGGAGATACCAAGGAAGCTTGTTAGTTTTTTGGGACGGAATTGGAAGACGTTGAAGGCGCATTGGTCAAATCGGGCCTAGGAAGAGTAATTCCAACTGTCCTTTTTTTTCTCTTTCTTTGCTTCGAATTCATTGACAATCACATGCTTTGGTCAGTTTTGGACAGAGCATAGTTTGTCAAAGAATTCCTCAGGAACATATATTTTGAAAGATGAAACTGTCTCGTTGGTGGTATTGCCATAAGGGGTTTTTTCAAGGCAGGCTGATTATCTGCCTTACCAATTTCGGCCGGTAGTCCGGGCCTGACACCCTGGTAGGGATCTGGGGCTTTGAGAGGACAACTGTTGGGACCCTCCAGTAGACAAAACGGATATGGGCAACACCGGGGGCACGGTCTCACCCGCGACACCTTCGGATAACGAATCTTTTCTAGCACTCTATCTCAGGATTCTTGACATTTGTCCTGAGGTTGATGGCTACTGTTGCTGTTAGGAGCCTGCCACGCTGGTTGGGATCCTCTTAGATGCTGCACACCAGTTGATCTTCGTATGCTCACGCGTTGTCTCAATCGGGCATTTTCCCTTACTACATTTCGTCTCTCCTCGCTTAAGTTCTGTGAACACACTTGTTGCTGGCATGCATGCCTTGTGCGGAGACCGATGTTCAAACGTCGTGCTCTAGGCATTTTGAACTATAGGCAAAGTGGTTAATTTAACCTCAAATCCACAAAATTTTCACAGTTCAACTTACCAGCTTAAAGACAAATGCTGGTTTCCAATTGAAATGTTAGGAAACGAATAACTTTTTTTTTTTTTGCAAAACCATGGAAATCGGTTGGTGCGTTCTGGAGTTATGTATATGATATGGGCCTATAGGCAGAGTGGTTAATTTAACCTCAAATCCGCATAATTTACACAGTTCAACTCACCACCTTTTCTGTTGCAATTATTCTTGAAAAATTCCGAAGAAGAGGACACTAAGCTTGCCTCAAATGCTACAAATTCCCAAGGCTCAGATGCACCATTTTTTTTACTAAACCATTCGAAAGTGCCCAATAAGTTAATTAAAATCGGGGACAAAGACAGGCCGGCAATAGCTGAGAATATTTCCACCGCTGGTCCCGATTGGATAGTAATTCTATCCTATCCGGGAAATTCTGGTCTTGATCAAGGACTATAGGCAGAGCGGTTAATTTAACCTCTAATCCACATAATTTATACATTACACTCACCACCTTTTCTGTTGCAATTATTCTTGAAAAAGACGCTGAAATATATGAGGAAGAAGAAGAGGACACTAAGCTTCCCTGAAAAGCACCAAATTCCCAAGGCTCAGATGCACAATTTGTATTAGTAAGCCATTCGAAAGTGCCCAATATTAAATTTATTAAAATCGGGGACGAAGACAGTCCGGCAATAGCTGAGAATGAATAACTTATTTTTTTTACTGATTCTTCACAATTTCACAAAATTAGTTTTGTTTTGTTTTGTTTCATAAAATAAACTGAGTAGAGAATTACGGCATGCTATGTATCAGTGATTGCCTTTTATGCAAAAACGACTTTCCCGATTTTCTGTTGCAATTTTTCCTGAATTTTCTTTACTGCTTATATAACGAATTCCAAGTCCTTTCCAACGAATGCAAAACCGTGGAAATCGGTTCATGCGTGGTGTTCCCTGAATGTTGCACCGCACATTCAGCTGATCCACCATCGACGAAATGAAATATATTTGCAGAAATTGATGCGGTTCCTCTGTTGTTGGCACCAATGAACCATGCAAATGATATATTTGTCCTTGTATCTGTAATTGCAAACAATCATTTGTTGAAAAATCGTGTGATGGTGTAGTCCGTAGAGTATATGTTGTTATTATGTTGCAATTCTTTGTGTTTTGTGTAAGTGATTGTAACTTTTACCTTGCAAGTCGGCATGAAGCCGCCTTCTCGAATGATATTAGCTCCAAAGGAAGTCATGCGAAAGCAGTTATTGTATTCAAGGATGTGTTGAAGAAAATGGCTGGAATCTGGATCACTTCCATCGAACAGTTTGACTTTTCCACTTGCGCAGCA